CATAAATAGTAAATATTCATCCATCATATATACTACCAAGAACATAAGTTCGATAAAGTATGGTATTTCAAAATATTCTCAGTTAGCATGATAATCATAAAGTGTGGATCTAATTTACTAATAAAATGTTTCATAAAACGTGGCCATTAAATCATGCTTTTCATGTATGCATTTCTACTATTAAAACATGCATTTTAGAAGGGGTCCACTCACAGATACTCCATCGTCAAAGAGCTGTGCGAAATAGAAATGACGAATCGCTAGTAATAAACGCACCTAAGCATATAAGGGGTCCAATTAATAAAACTATACTCAAACGATTTAATTTGGGAAAACAGACATCATAAACGGATCCAGAACGTCGAAATTAGCCTAGGAGAGGTCCCGACCGAAACCTAAAAAAGTCAACATTGACTGAAGTCAATGGGTTAGATTGGGTCAACAGGTCCGGGTCGGGTCACGGGCCAGGTCATAGGCCAATCAACAAGTCAGGTCTAAAGGGTATTGGGCCTCTAGGCTTGAGCCTCTGAGCTTGGGCCTGGGATCCTGGGTTGAAAGCCCCAGCTCACACGGCTAGCTAATCAATTTTTCATTGACCTAAAGTGCAACAAATCAGTTGGTTCGAAAGGTTTAACTGCCCAGAAGCGAAGAAACATGGCACAAGTGAATCCTTTCTCAATTTTTGTCTCAACCATTCATCTCATGATATTAATCCAGATTACCTGAAGTTCTCAGTCCTATATAATAGTTTAGGTGAGATGTGAAATTGGAATGAGGTTATCATCAACGACGTTTCACTTATATTGCAGCTACTGGCATAAATGAAAATGACAATATCGAACCACATGCCGTTGATGTAGTCAACGTAGAACTAATTGGCCAATTGGAAATAAAACAATGCAGGCCAAATTATGTTCCTTATCAAAGGGTGTTTGTACCTATTGTTCCTACGCCGCCCAATGTAGTCTTGTTGTATTACAAGTGAGAAAAAAGTGTAATGAGATGAATGAAATAGTGTAACATGAGGCACGTCTTATGGTGCAAAGCTTTTCTCAAATGCCCTGCAACAATTTTCAAAGAATTGACTGTTCAGTTTATGAATGTGGTTATAATGTCTCAACAGTGATATTGATACAAAGATTTACATGTAATTCCTGAAGAATAACATGGACTGGCTCATAAGTTTTAAACCACATAACACCATCTCAATTCAAATGAGGTGTTCACTTTACGAATTGAAGCAATCAGGGTGAATGTGGTAGACTCGTCTAAGTGATTATTTGATTAGTGAGGGATATGAGAATATACCATGCCCTTGCGTTTTAACTAAGAAATCCGAATTTCTAGAGTTGAAGTCTATATCAATGACATGAATCTCACTAAGACTCTGGGAGAGGTTGAGAAAACTACCTTACATATGAAAACAAAATTTGAGATGACAGATCTTGGGAAAACTTGTTTATGCTTTGACCTGAAGTTCAAGCATTGTTCAGACTGTATTTTGGTCCATCAGTCGAACCACACTCCAAATGTGTTACTCTTAAGTACACTCATGATCGTTCACACACTAAATGAAGATGAGATCATTGAAGAGGTTGTGGAACCCAAAATTCCATATCTAAGTTCAACTTTTCGCTTTGTTGTACTTAGCTCATTGCATTAGATAAGACATCTTGACACGCCCTGATCCCAAAGGTGTCACATGTTGGCCGACACCCGAAGGTGACGCAAGCCATTTAGGATGTATGAGAACAAGAAATAAATAAGAATTATAAATTTAAATATAATTGATATGCAATTGAGGAACGTGTTCAGAGCATACACTAACTAGAACACTAAACAGAAATACTTATAAAATTGAATGAACAAATGAATGGGTCCTACACCGAGAAGACTCGAAGATGCCGATGCGGGAGTGCCTTAACGTTAGGATTGTACGCCTCGATTCTAAGTCCTAAGGGGGCGCAAACAAACATGAGTGGACCTGGACCAATTTGATATATATATATATACATATATATACTGAAACAGTTATCAACATACTAATCCCTAAAGTTTTATGAAAACTAATAGCATATAAGTGATAGGTTTTCCGAAACCCTAGCATGCCATAAAACATCTCATAAAACATATCTCGTATGTAGATTATTTCTCCAGGCCCCTTGCTAACTCTATGTCCCTCGACCCAAGGCCAGGGATTATTTATCCTGGCCTACATGCCAACACCAGATCCTCGCCCTAGGTGGAATAATGACCACTAAATACGCACAAAACATTGAACATAATCTTTCCAAACATAGGTACATATATCTCAAAACCATATTCATAGTATAAAGTCATCCATCATCTATACTATAAAGAAGTGTGTGAAAACATGTTCTAAATAGTATATCGTCATCCATCAAATACCCTACAAGAATGTGGGTTCGATAGAAAATATCGTATTCCAAAATAAGCTCAGTATAGCATGATAATCAATTTCTCATAAAACGTTCACAAAATGTATTCAGTAAATCATGATTTTCATGTATGCGTTTCTACAATTAAAAACATGCATTTAAGAAAGGGTCCATTCACAGTACTTCGTCGTCGAAAAGCTGCACAGACTAGAAAACACAGAACACCGCAATATATGCACCTAAGCACATAAAGGGTTCATTGAGTCAAACTCTACTCAAACTACTTAATTTCAAGAAATGGATGTCAGAAATGGGTCCAAAACATTGAAATTAGCCTATGAGGGGTCCTAGATGAAAACCCGAAAAACGATCAAAACATCAACATTGGCCATTGACCGATCAAAGTCAAAGTCAGCAGGTCAAACCAGGTCAACCGGAGAGAAGAGAGAGGGTGTCGCGTGGCAGCCTAAGAGGAAGAGAGACTTGGGGACCAAAAAGAAAGGTGGGTCCCGCCTGGCTCACTAATTAAGGCTCAAAAACAATATTTAAAATCGGGGGTGGGGTTTTACACATCTCCTTCTATGTTGATTTGTTTGTAAAGATACAACAGTACACCTACATGGTGCCACTAAATTTGCATTATTGACATTTTTCCATTACTATGGATTTAGACTCATACCTACGCATCCCGAGTGGATCCAACTCCTAATCCTCGAAATGATGTTTGTCTTGTTAATTATGATGATGTTGGTTACTTATTAAACCCTCACAAAGCTTCACAAGGCACATTCCCAAATGGTTATGTCGTTACCGTTAAGGATACCGCAATATCTTGGAAGTCTATAAAATGGACCTAAGTTACAAAATCTTCAAATCATGCCTAGCATATTGTACCTCACTACGCCACACATGAGTTGAGAGCTCTTGTTGTTCATATTTAAAGTACATGCGATTTTGTATTCATCGTTGAGTCTCAACGACGATACATGAAGACAATGTGGCATATATCGACCAAACCAAGACATGATACATCAACAAAGCCAACATCAAGCATATTGCACCATTCTCACATTAGCAAAGCATTAGAAGATTGAAGTCAAGCATATCCGATCCCAAGACAACCTTATCGACCTCTTCGCAAAATCACTGCTAAAGTCTATTTTCCAGAAGTTTGTCCAAGGAATTGTATGTGTAACTATCTCATATGCAATGCTTGCCAAATTCAGGAGAGTATCTTGAAATACACTCACTTGACCTTAATGTACTCTTTTCCCTTAATCAAGAGCATTTTTCCCACTGAATTTTTGCTAAACTGACGAGGTTTTGACAAGACACTAGTCATGCTCTTGTGTGCATTTTCTACTAGTTGCGTCTAAAGATGTTTAGTATCAACATATTGCATTAATTCACATTTTATCCTTAGACTATGAGTTTATTCCATTTGGTTTTACCCTAGCAGGATTTGGTGAGACTTACTCCTACATGCATTTTCCATTGGAGACTCATGTTTGCTACTTGTGCTGACTAGACGAGACAACTTCATCAGCTGCTTCTACATTTGTCCGAAGATTTGATGCGCCATCTACTTGAGTATTTACACACTCAAGGAAGAGTGTTCTAATATTATTTATAGAACATGTATGATTGTTTAAATCACTTAGAGATTGTATTTAGGATACTTGAAGATCTTATCCCTTTATGATTGTATTACTTGCAAAACAAGGAATTCTATCTAGTTTACTATAAATAAGAGCACTAGACATGAGAAATAACACACAGAATTCCTCAAGCCTTTCTCCATCTCTCTTTGTAACACTCTCTCCCTTCAGTAAAACATGCCACAACATTTCCATTTTTTTCCTTATTTGATGACCACAGACGAGTTGACCTCTTAGTTAGAGCCCATAGTCCCATTTTTGGAAATTTTGGTTTTCTTCCTCACCAACTTATATACATACAGAAAGATGCACCAAATCTTTAATGTAAATTTTCAAATTTCTCTAGAAGTGTCTTGAAGGAGTCATCACTTGCCAAGACACATTAAACGCAAGCAAGACTTTAAGGTCTGTTTGGTATCAAATTTGAGTCCAAAATTTTTAAATCAAAAACAATTTTTAAGTTTTAAAGTAAAAAAAACCTGTTTGGTAAGTCCATTTTGCAAAATTGGACTCAAAAATATAATTTGAAAACAACGTGTCATGTTTTAGACCAACTCCAATGGTGAGCTAAAAACCAAATTACCCCCCCAAAATTTCACCCCAAACCCACTCCAACCCAAGGGGAAAATTTGGGTTAAATGCTAAATGCTAAACCAATGCCAAATTCCCCTCAAAATTTAGCCCAGAAATCGGAATGGACTCCACCCAATATTTATAGGAATTTAAATTTTTTTTGGATTAAAATGTTCATAAAATTAATTTACGATAGTCTACATATTTATTTAAAAAAAAAAATTAATTTAACAAAAAAAATAGCCTAAGTTTATTCTTTAATAATCCTTGGCTAAAATTTTAGGCTAGAATGGTTGGAGCAGAAAAACTATTTCTGGGCAAAAAACTAAATTTTTCGGGTTAAAATATTTAGCTTTTAGCCCAATTTTTTTTTCACGAATTCATATCCCTGCGCCACGATGGAGGTCTGAGAGACCTGCGCTGCGCAGACCACGCCTTGCGCCTCACCAACGACGAACGACCAAGAGATTCCGGCCAATAGGTTGAAGGTTCCGGTGAATAGCTTTTAAGCCTCGAATCTCTGAGTGCTTGATTGTTGACGAAACTGGGCCATTCTCTTCACTGCAAGAAACGATCAAGGTAATGGGTCTTTCTCTTACTGTTTTGTTTGGTTCCTTGGAAAATGGAGGAAATGAAGTGAAAGTTGATTTATGTGTTTTTTTTGTTGGGTTGTGAGAAATTGAGTTTATCTATCTAATTGGTGTGATTCATTTGTGTACTGTGTATATATATTAACCTAACCGAGCTCGATCGAGCTCATAGCTTGGTAATTAATCTGAAAACTCTTCTATTTATGTTTTCTGATGTGCCCATGAGGATTGATTTGTGAACTGAATTTGTTGTGATGTGGGTTTTCTCCGATTTGGGATATTTCAGTCATACTGTCATTTTTGTGGACTGAATTTGTTGTCAAGTCTAATTGAGTTTGGGTTGAATGAGATGTTACTTAAGGTTCGATGACTGTTTTTGGATGTAACTTATAATCATGTGGCGCTTCTTGTGTTGTGTTTATCATGAAAGGATTTGATGCTAAACCGGTAGCATTGCATGTGTTTATCATGAAGGGATTTGATGCAAACATTTCCATGCCAACTCTTTTCTGGATGGTTTTAATGTGTTGTCAAGTACCGTATTTGTTCATAGACTTAATCTGGTTATGTGTGGTTGAATCTATTTCAACTTTGCCTAAGTCCATTGAGGTGGAGCTGCCTCGTACTGTTTTCTCTGATCTAGAATATTTCAGCCATAATTGCCCCCTAAATTTAGTATGTTATGTTGTTTGGAAACAATCCTAATTGCCCCCTAAATTTCTGATAGAGCGTCCATAGCCTTCGGTAGTTGATCCCGGTCATCTGAAGTTTGATTACTTAATGTCACTCTTTGAGTTAGTAGCAAGTTCTGTTAGAAAAGATCAGAAAGTGATGTCTTTTCTACCATGTTTCTTTCTAATTGTGTTCATCTGCCCTCCTGTGGCTGGTCTCGCATTAAAGATTTAACTAAGTTGCTGCAATTATCTTTTCTACCATGATTCTGGATAAGTACCCTTAGTGATTGTGAGGGTTTCTGATAATCAGTGGATCAATATAATGTAGTTTCTTACATTTGTTCTGCAGATGGGAATATTGTGTTCTGGTTCATTCAGGGGTGTTAACCACTGGTTTGTTTTGGGTGTTTCTTCCTTTTTTTAATTTTTTTTGGGTGGTTGAAAACATAAGATCATCCATAGTAGGGTATATAAAATTTGAAATGCTGAAAAGTAATATGATGTCCTTGCATTTCTTACCGTGAAAATTACTTGGTTGGTTTATATTGATGACAACTAATTGAAACGTAGTCTGGTTGAGCGGTGCCTGAACTCTTCTTTAGGCCATTTTTACTTCTGTAAAAGATACTGGAACACTGGAGTAATATGACAGTTATTTCTAACAGGAAAAGCTACTATAAAGAGGGATATTATCTTTATCCAAAGTTTGATGCATCTGAGGCCTATTGAAGAGCTTTGAGGACATGGGCAAACTGGATTGATCATAATATTAATCCATCAAAGCAGTGGTCTTCTATCGTGGCTACTCTTCTGCCCGTTTCAGGTATATTCTACTACTTAATATTGGTTTGGTATTGAGGTTCTTTTATAAAAAGTGGATATAAAAAAAAAAACTGAGCTCAAAAAGGTGTTTGGTAAACACTTAAAAACAGCTTATTTTCATAGTTTTAGGTGAAAAAAAGCTAAAAACACGATGCAGCAAAAATAAGCTTATTCTCACAGCACAGTAGAAACTGTTTTTTTTTAAAGCACAACAATACCAAACCAAACAACTAGGAGAGTATTTTTTTTTTTTTTAATTTTTAATTTTTAATTTTATGTAATTTGCTTTTCAGGTCTCCCACTTTACATTGATATAATGAGATACAGAACCAAATTTTGGGATAAATAAACGCCTAGAACAAATTCTTAAGCACTTAAGAGAAGGAACAATTACTTCGATGTTCTATTTATTACGGCAGGTGTTTGCCAATAGGAGCACTTCCCATGTACCCTTCTCTTGAGAGAAGGAACAATTACTTCTGTAATTTAACTGCAGACATTATGTGGTTTCGGATGCAGACTTTCAATAGGAGCCTTTGTGAATTTTCTGTTTCTTTGATGTGGTAGATGAAGAAAGCTCGGGGGCGAATCAAGATGGGGAAAACATGCATTTGAATGACGACAATGCCATGAATAATGTTAGAGACCACATAGCCGGATCAATGTGGCTTGATTACGTCAATAACAATTAGTCTCATAGTTTATTGGTTTTCTAGAATGTTTTAATGTAATATTTATTGTCTAAGATTTGAAGTTTAATTTGGTTATCGAACATATATTTGTTGTATTAGCACATGAATATCAAAATAGTATGTTTAAGGTTTAATTTCATATGTTTTGTATATCTTAAAACAAATACATAATTGGAAGGAAAAAAAAAAAAAAAAATCTTGTATTCAAGAGTTAAACCAAACAAGTTTTCAAATTTTTAGATTCAAAAATAGTTTTTAAGTTCAATGCCAAACACGTTTTTGAAACCTAAAAAAAAAAAAAAAAAACTGTTTCTAAGAGATGTTCTTAAAAGTTGCTTTTAAGAACAATTCAAGTTTTTGAGTAGAATATCAAGCATGTCCCAAATTTTTATCTTGAATTGCTAATCAGTTAGTCAATAAGTATTATATAATTATTTGAAAGAATTTTTTTTTCTTCTCATACGTATTACTATATACTAAAGCTCAGTGAAAGTGGTACTGTGGATGACCAGTGGGCGGACGATTTTGCCCCTGACTTTTTTCTCCGGTTGTTCTTCCCTTTGGTTTTTGGGGCGCTGAAATGCCGCTTTTGCCCATTGCTTACCCGCGTCTGTCATCGATGGAATCCTCCATTTGGACTGTGTGTAGTCGATTTTTCTTTAGCTTTCCCTTGCTCTTCTTTTCCTCTTCTGGACTCTTCTTTTCCATCGACTTCTCTGTCACTATCTCGCAACCAACTACACATCGATTCACCCTCCATTTCTCCCGCTTAGCAAAAGAAAATCAAAGGGGTTCACCTCTGTGGGTTCCGTAAGATGCTGGAAGCATCTTTCGTTTCTCTCTTTCTTCTTCTTTTCTTTCACCTCTTCCTTCGCCGAAGCAACTAAAAATCAAAAACCTACTCGCGGCTTCTTCCTCCCGATTTCGGAGCTTCTCTCTCTCTCTCTCTCTCTCTTTCTCTCTCTCCCTTCCATTGAAGCACCTCCATACACAGGTATCGTTTCTCTCGTAATTATATATTTAATTATTTGAAACTTAGTTCTTCTGTGTAAGATTCTTGAGCTTTTGATTACCTGCAATTTTCAACTTTCTACGATATAGGATTTTTGAATAATTTCATGATTTAGCGATCCTACTAATGATATATCAAGTAGAATCAATATGAGGAATAGGCAAGAGATCATATACGCGGTTTTTGCGTTTGTTTATGTCTGATTTGCACTGATTTTGGTCGGATCTATTTCGGATTTTGTTTTCCGTTTGAGCACCGGTTATTTTTGCATCGCTGGGAAGTTAATTTTCTACAACTGAGGTATGTTTTCTAACTGCTGTGTTTTGATTTTTATTCTGTGTTTTGATTAATTTTGGATGGAATTGTAACCGTTTGGTTTTGGGTTGGCTTTGTTCCTGTGCTAGAGTTTTCCTGGCTAAGAGGATATTTTGCGGTTTGGTTCCTTGCTTGGTCAGTCTCAGATTTACCGACAGTTCCGACAGTCCTGTTATTTTTTGGGTAAGTTTTTCCTCTTTTTGTTTTTTTCCTAATTTGAAAACTCCTTGGTTGGTGTTAAATTAAAATATGTGTGTAATTTTTTTGAAGAATTACTGGTGAGATGGATTGACAAGATTCTTGAGTGAAAAACAGGCTTTTTAGTGCGGTTAAACAGAAATATAGAGCTTTATTGTAAGAAAGTTATGGATGATTTAATCAAATTAATTGTACTGATAGAGATATGAATGAGCCTAATGTTTGTTCTTTTCACTCAAACATCATTATACCATTACAGAAAATCAGGAATTTGAACATCAGCTTGCGACTTCGCTGTCGATTTGAACGCCACCATCTTCGATGCAGTCCTTGGGATACACCCCTACCTCCTTTTCCATAGTCAAATTCTTCGCTCACTGGTCAGCTTTTCTAATTTCTATGCAAACCATTGATTTTATTTGGGAAATAAATGGAACCCCTTATGTTTTTGCTTAAAGTATTGATCTTTGAGTGTTACTCAGTAGATATTAAATCGATTGGAGACTACCCATTTGAAAAAGAAGAGAGATCACATGGATGATGGATCATGTGAGGTTCTCCAATTATTTGAGATCACATGGAAATATTTAAGTTGTCATAACTAAAATGATCTGAAAGCTTATTGAGAATTGTTGTAATTTGCTTTTCATTGTAGCATTGCTTTCTTAAAACTGATTAGAGCTAAAGATTGATAATTCCCTAGCATTCAGTGCATATGCTTATTAATGTATGTTTGTTATCTTAGAGGCATATGGTGGTTTAGTTGCTAGTTGCACCGTGCACACATGCAGCTCAAGGCTGACCCCAAATTGTTCCCCCTGAAATGATGTTGTGCTTATTTGTAAATTTTGTTGTTCATCTGCAATTCACCTTTTGTCTCTTGATATCTTTTACAAGTGCAAAACGCCATAGAGTATTTAAACATCATCGGGGCCTTGGATGAGAATGAGAATCTGACTGTTTTCGGTGGGGAGAGATTTATTATTCTTTTAATATTTCAATTATGCATTGTGATGCTTGCAACTCTTTGTAATGGTTGATTATTTAAATTTGAAAATCATTAGCCTAATGCAGTTTTAATCACTTGACAGTTTAAATGCAGGTTGTTATATAGAGCTTAGGATTTAGGTTTTCTAGTTCAATCAAAGCTAATTGGACAGAATCATGAATTAATTAAATGTGGTGTCTTCCTTTCTCCTTCTGTTTCTTTTGTTGTTGGGTGAAAGTGAGCATGGGTTTATGATAACCTAGTTAAAGGGAAAGCTGGAGAGAGAGAGGGTACTAAAGTAGGTGCATATAGGGACTCAAAAGTTAAGGCATACTGAAAGAGAAAAATGCACAGATTGGAATGGTAAAAAAAAAAAAAAAAAAAAAAAAAAATGAAAAGAAAGTGAACACAATAGAATATAGAAAATGAAGTGTTCATCCAGTGGAAAAACCCATATGTGGTGTTTATTTTTAGACAAGATGGGAAGATGTAAACAGTTGGAGGTCCATACCATTTTCCAAGTTCTTTGTTAATGTGAATATTTATGTTATTCTGATCAGGAACTTAAGTGAATAAATCGTTTTCGAATTTGTAAACAAATAATTGCTTACAAAATAATGAACTCTGTTAAACAAAATTAATTGCTTACAGTAGAGAATAACTGTAAACATTATTGAAGTATATATTTAAATATTTTTAATTTATATAAATAGTTAGGTTGCTATTGCATTCTGTGCCTAAATCAAATCACTAACTTGAACCATGCTCTTTATTTGGGAACTGTGTGTATTTCTTATTTGAATTAGTATGGTTTGTTTTTCAAATTTGATTTTGTGTGATTTCATTTTGATAGATATTTCAGAATTTCAGAAAGCAGGTGCGGTTTGATCAATGAAGGCCGACCTGATTTACAGAGGTCTGATTAGAGGTACACTACTAATTACCTCACTTTTCTCCCAAGAGTATGCTGCTTTTTCCAAAAGGAAAAGATTAGCTTGGTTTGATCTCTTATTTGAATTGTGTAGATTTGGTTTGATCTCTTAATTTGTGTTGTGCAAATTTTGTATGAATTAATTTGGGTTGGGTAGAGGAAGCAAATAATTTTTTAGATTAATAAATTTAGTTTGGTTTGTACATATGCTGATGAATATTATTTACCGAAGCATGAACATGTCAAGAAACTGTTCGTTTCAAACTATTCATTACAACTTTGCACCAACTGTTTTTGTTATGCCTAACGATTTAAAAACCCGCAGCATCGCGCGGGCTCCTTTGCTAGTGTATTCTAAAGTTTAAATTCGAAGACAATAATGTGTATTGTTTACTCCACATGAAAAATAAAACTTTTATAAATAATTAATAGGGAAAAGATTACAACCTTTGTGAACTTTCAACGTACAAGTTTTATTAGCTGGCTTCACTAATTGCCAGAGAAAAAGTTCACCTGTTTAGTTTGAAGACGCTTTACAATTTCAATCTCCTGTTGTACAACACTTTACCTACCATGCAATTTGACTTGTTCATGCAGGCCATGAAAATCAATGTTGAAATCTTTGCGGGAACCCAAAGTCATGGGTTGAAACATGCAGGTGACGTTATTGACTGGAATTCCATAAATCCTGAAGTCTTGCTACGTAGAAAATTCAAAGCATTAATCCATCCAAATGATGGCACAAATGATGTCACAAATGATGTCACAGATGATGTCACATATTTACTATAAAAGGGCTAGCGAGAACCTTTTACAAAACACTCACAACAAACAAGTTTCCAAGAACTAAAACTTGAATTGCCAGAAATGTCAATGTTTTATTATCTGGCTTTGTGCCTCTTAGCAACTAGTGTTCTTGCCACGAAGCCTTATACTTATTCTTCACCCCTACCACGAAAGTATGTAATACATCCACCACCGCACTACAAGTCACCACCTCCATCACCATCACCCCCTCCACCCTATCATAAATCTCCTCCACCTTCTCATTCTCCACCTCCTCCAAAAATTTACAAGTCACCACCCCCACCTTCTCCTTCACCACCACCTCCTTATGTGCACAAATCTCAACCACCACCTACTCACTCACCACCTCCACCATATATCCACAAATCCCCTCTTCCCCCTTCTTCATCACCACCGCCTCCTTATGTTCACAAATCTCCTCCTTACATGTACAAGTCATCACCACCCCCTCCTTACGTGCACAAGTCACCACCTCCACTGTCAAAGTCTCATCCTCCTCCATACCACTCTAAACCCTCCCCATCACGTATCCTTAGATATTACTATAGGTCTCCTCCTCCTCCTGTTAGAATCTAAACCACCTCCCAAAATCATTACAAATCACCTCCACCTCCAAAACACTACTAACTTTACAGTTACAACCACTTGAACCAGTCTGAATAACTACAACGTTTCGATGTTTGGTTCGAGTTTTCCTTTTGTAGCTTTGCTCTATTGTTCGCAGGCAAATGTGTTTGTGAACATATAATAAAGGTCTAACATAACCCTTCATGTTATTCTGTTGTAAGAATTCACTGTTTTAGTTCACTTTAAAGAAATGAATAAAATCGAAGAGTATTTTGGTTATTATGTAGTTGTTTTCATGAAGTACCATGCATTACATTTTACATATGACCATTTAAACTTGGATTAGTAAAATTATGTCTTTCTTTAGATGTCTTTCTGATGTTAGACTATGCGAGCTTTTATTTTTCCAATCAGAAAAGGGGTACAGTATCTCTTGTTCGAATTTTAAGTTCTGTTTAATATTCTAATTTGTGGGGAAAAGGACGTGTGTTTGATAATGCATCCCATCCACGATAGTGCATGTCAACTTAGGTGGCGACTTTTCAGATCTCGTCTATGCTATGTAAGTTTAAACTAGCAAAATTGTCTGCGCTCTGCTACAGGTTATGAATCCGTAATCACAATTTAACACATTTAGGTCTTGTTTGGCAGCTCGGACTGTACTGATTATTTCAGTCGGATAGGATAAATAGTCGTGGGATAATACTGACTAAATTAGTCAGGCGTTTGGTATTGTATCGGATTAATTTATGCATCGGATAATATGTCGGACTATAATAATTTTTTTTAATTCACAATAATTGTTGTTAAAATTAACATAAAAAATAAAAAATAAAGGAAAAAAAAACCAGGACTCTTCTCAGTCGCATCTTCCTTCTTCACCATCTTCCCCGCGCACTAATCCCACCCTCGGCAACTGATTGCAGAGGAGTAGCGGCCAGGGTCGAGAACTCGGAGCCTATATTCGAATTCTTGTCCCCCTCCTTGTCGGAGCCCAGCTCCCTTCCTCATCGAAGCCCAGATCCGAATTGATATACCCCTCCTCGTCGGAGCCTAGCTCCCTTCCTCATCGTCCTTCTTGTTGTCGGAGCCCAAATCGAAAGAATTTGAATCATCATCTTCCTCGGAAGAATTTGTTGTCAGAAATCAAAGGCAAACAAAGAGGTGGGATGTCAACATGGCGACGAAGACGAACCTGGAAGTAAACGAGAGATAGCAGGCGATGTGAGAGAGTTGAATGAGAGTGCGTAAGAGAGGGATGGAGTGAGCCAGTGTGAACGAGAGAGATGCACCTGACTAAATAATACAGAGGTTTGATATGGGATAAACAAGCGGGTGTAAAGGGGATAAAAAAAGTGGGGCCGGATTAAATAATCCGGTGCTTATTTAATACGAAGCTCACCAAACATCCGCTCCGTATTATTAACATTATCCGGTGGTCTTATACGGCATGCCAAACGAAGCCTTATTTCTAAATAATTCATCAAGATTGGATTTCTAAGTACCAAGTACCAGCAATATACAATTCACATGATGAGTTTTTCATATGAATTTGAGAGTGATGGTTATTTAATTTGTATCTAAGGTGCAGTAGTGGTTGGTGGTGATGTGGTTAAAATGAGAGACTCAAAATCGAGTCATGATTCCTTGTAGCATAAGTAGAAAAAGGAGGTAGTGCAACAAAATCTCAATGATAACGTAACTTGTATCAAAGCTTAACTCAAAATTTACTATAGGTATCAACAATAATTTTATGCATACTTGAGACAAAGTTGAACTTGATTTTGAGAATTGTCTAAAGTACATGTCGCTTTGCATTTTAACCTTTGCTCTTATAAATTGGCATGATCACTGCATTTGAATTGTTGATTCCCATCATAAAGAAGTTAGGATTCTGCATTGTTACGACCGCTAGTCTAAGAATATGTTCAAAAGGTCAAAAAAAATAAAATAAAAATAAAATAAAATAAATTAAGCTATGTGGCAATAAAAGTGGAAATTGATTTACTATATATATCTGCATTTTATTGTAATTGAATATTCAATAGAGAATTTAGGAGTTTTACATGGTCATCAATCACTATTAATGTTAAGACTCCTTGTTAATATGAAGTCGTACCTAGGCATCCAATATTTAATCCACCACGTTATAAACTGGGTCATGCTTATATGATGGATATGAAGTCCTGACTTGGTGCTCCCCAAGGAATAGCAAGTACATCACTATTAATAAAAAACAAAACAACATTCTAAGGAGGTATCATAGTAGCTCAACCAGAATATAAGTTGAAATAGAAGTGGGAGCTAAATTAAAAATAGGCGACTGTTTTTCCACAACTATTAACATGCATAATGTTTTCTACAATAGTATGGTAGTTGAAAATTTGCTCAAGCTAGGAATTGGGACCTCATTGATGCTGCATAGCCATATTTACTGTAAAACATGTACCATGTCCAGAATATGAATAAAATATTCTAATACTATGTGGAGAAAACCTGAAATTTATAGGTAACTCTTAAATAAAACATGCATTATTATATAATAATATACAACACAATTTATCGGTGATATAGTAACTCTTTCAGAAGATTGCATATTTGAGGCACGACTAAACCTAATTTAAAGGATTGCATTACACAACTTTGGAATTTGCTATCCTCTTGTCAACTTTGTCATTGGTCATCTCAGCAATAACCTGTTGATTTTACATATCAAATTAATAAATTATAAGGTTGTATAAAAGTTGACTATCTATGTTGATATAAACGGCAACTTTCACTCCAAATTTCTGTTAAATCTAAAGAGGCTAAATAGCCAAAATGGTCCCTGAGATATGCATAACACATTACTTTGGTTCTTGAGATTGAAAATAAATAGAAATGGTCATTGAGATTGTCCACCATCTATCATTTTGGTCCTTCCGTTAAAAACTCTTTGGGCAATTTTCAAAGCTTCGTAACTCAATCGTTTCTTAACCAAATTCAACCTATAATATATCAAAATGAAGATAGGAAAGTTTAGAATAAGATTATATCTATTTTGAAGCCCAATATTTTCCGGAGATGGCCGAAAAATAGCCTCAAAGTTGACTGGTCCGCGGAAAAACTTGAAAATTCGTTGAAAACTGGGTAACCTTTAAACGTTCATAACTTCTTCAATACTCAACTAAATCAAGTGATTCAAAAACAAAAATCATACTTCTCAATGAGAGGAAGAGAATGGTACCTTTCTTGATGGCTAACTCGCCCTTTTTTTTCGGAAAAACGGCTTGAAAATGGTTAGCCACTTTCGAGCCGTGTTTCGGCCAGACTACAGTGAATTAGCCATTAAGAAAGGTACCATTCTCTTTGTCTCGTCAATAAGTATGATTTTTATTTTTGAATCACTTGATTTTGTTGAGTATTAAAGAAGTTATGAACGTTTAAAGTTTACCCAGTTTCTGGCGAGTTTTCCAATTTTTTTGCGGATCAGTCAACTTTGAGGCTATTTTTCAGCCATCTCTGCCAACCATTGGGCTTCCAAATAGGTATAATCCTTTTCTACACTTTCCTATCTTCAGTTTGATATATTATAGATCGAATTTGGTTAAAAAACAATTGAGTTACGAAGCTTTGAAAATTGCCCAAAGAGTTTTTAACGGAATGACTAAAATGATGGATGGTGGACAATCTCAGGGACCATTTCTATTGATTTTCAATCTTAGGGACCAAAGTGATGTGTTATGCATATCTCAGGGACCATTTTGGCTATTTAGCCATCTAGAGAAATAATGTTGTAAGCATAAATCTATTTCTAATTTTTCCCAATAAATTACTTGCATCTTTAGCAGTCTAGGCAAAGCATGTATAAGTATAAATAATAAATGATTTCGAACCAACAAAGTTTGTCCACACTTACAGCTATGCCAATGGAACCAAGTAAGTCCAAAAAGAACAATTGAAGATCCCTTTTTTCAGTTTTGTTGCATTTAAAGTGCCACTCAAACCTGATTTTGGAAAGAAAGTATTCAACATCAATTGTATGCAAATGAAAGTATTATAACTGAATATAGACAGTATAATGGAAGGATTTCCTCACCATTTTAGTAAATAATAGAAAAAATGCATGCGCTCCACCGTGGGTTTTGAAATCATAATTCACAATTTAACATACCTATTTCTAAATTATTCAGAAATTAATCAAAGAAAACTTCAAGTAGAAGAAAAATGAGTTCTCAATTAGAGAAAACTTCAATTTCAAGCAAGTTTTTTTGTTCTAATTTCAGGGCTTAACAATGCAAGATTGGAATTTGCATTTGGTTCAAAGAAGTAAGATAAACTGATAAGCAAAATGAACTAAAATCCGTTCTCAATTTCGGCAAAGATTGGCAAAACCATATTCTAATCCTATGTGGACAAAAACCTGAAATTTATAGGTAACTCTTAAATAAAACATGCATTATTATATAATAATATACAACACAATTAATCAGCGATATAGTAAC